AAACCATTTCAGGTGACTACCTCTTGAAGCTCATGGAGAGAATGCCAAGAGTGTGCAAAGCAGTAATCAGAGCAAAGGGTGGCTATTTTGAAGAAACTAGAATATAAAACATGTTTTCAGTTATTTCACCTTTTTTTGTTAAGTACATAACTCCACATGTGTTCATTCATATTTTTGATGCCTTCAGTGAGAATCTACGATGTAAATAGTCATGAAAATAAAGAAAACGCATTGAATGAGAAGGTGTGTCCAAACTTTTGGCCTGTACTGTATATATATATATAAATTTAGCAAAATTATCCAACATTAATGTCTCTTTGGAAAAAGTATGTAAAGCTTAAAGATAGTAGGAGGGAGTCAGGTGTTTGAATCAATGGGATGATGGTTATTTGAGATTCGTAGTCCCTGTCCTACTTAATAAATATAAACATGATATATAAACCTATTCTGTTCTGTCTTTACTATCAAAGTCTTGTCTTCACCACACAGGTTTGTGGAGTTCAGACAAAATGCTGTTGGTGGTCACCAGGATGGAAAAGGTTAAACAACAGTGCCCAAAGAGTTTGGTCTTCACCAATCCACTGGCAGGCAGATAGTGTACAAATGGAAGAAATTCAACACGACTGTTACGCTCCCGAGGGGTGGTTGTCCAACAAAAATCACTCCAAGAGAACAGCCTGTAATACAGGAGATCACAAAGAACCACAGGGTAACATCTAGTATCTACATTTAGTATCATATTTGTAATGAGAAACCCTTGTTTCATGCTACGAGGTCAGACAAATCAGTTCACTCAGCGGAGCGGGCAGATTCCGAGGTCTGGACCAAGGCAATGTATTTTAAGAACATAGATGAAGATCTGATCACATCTGAGATCAAATTTATGCAGAAATACAAAAAACTCTAGACTTTCTAACAGCACTGTAAATGATGATTGCACAGTACATTATCTGAACTGAACAACTGGCTGATGAGGAAGGTCAACATCTAGCAAACAAAAGACAACCAGATATTTTTCTGAGGAGTTAGTGAATCAAACAAGGGATATAAAAGAAAACAAAACTTCAATTTAAAATGCTCTGTTTCTGCCATAAGAGCTCGATAAGCTAGTTATTACATCAAATCTTTACTGTTGTGAGTTTAGTTGTTTGGTTCTACCTTCTAGTGCCTTCTCAATGCAGCTTGATTTAATGCGTCTCACCTATATCCCCTGGAGAACTGGAGGCTACCCAGGGGCCTTTCACGGGGGCGGGGCTTTTTCTGTTGCAAGTGGAGCGTGTACCAAGCTGCCCGTTACCACCAAGCCCAAATGAGTCCATCTTTCCACAGGAGGGTGTGAAAGCGAGCGTGTGCTGCCTAGTCATTGCAGTCAGTTGAGAAATGTTTAGTTCTATTATGACATTTCAACATCATTTTAATTGTTCTGAATTAACCTTTTGTAATAATTATTTAATATGTACACTGATATCACAAAAATGTATGTATTCCATGTTTGATGTATTAAAGTACACATAATACATTTTTACCTTCCACATGAAATCTGCGTGACTACATTTCCCATGAGCTCAAACACTTTCCTAGGGTTGATTTCATGGTTTGTAGAGTTATGTCCGAGTTGTCCGTACCCTCCTGCTCCAAATGTAAACACACCTCCTTCCTATAAAATCAGCAACACCAGTTGTTGTGACCTCACCAAGACCAAGAGTGCTGCAAGGCCAAAACTTCATATACACCACAGCATACAGGGCTGGGACAGACCCAGAAAGCATGTAGGCTGCAATCATGTTAGTGACTTCAATCGAGTTATATATTAATAGGAAACAGCCAGCTAAAGAACACCACATGCCATCATGGGATATGTTTTAACCTGCAAGTCTTAAGGCAGGGATCCTCCTTTACAACTTCAGCCCACTGCTGAAACAGAAACTTATTAGACGTTCCAGGAGATCTTAAAACTCACCAACTCTTTAACCAGCAAGAGAATGCTTAAGTTGGTCAAATATTATGGTTGTTTAGATCACGATAGCCAAATTGTAGCAGTGTTTGTCTAGTGACTGAAATTAAAGGATTTTTTTGTTTACAACTCTGGTCTTACTTTTAACTTTTATGTCTGTCATCCATATTAATTATGACAGCATTACTTACCAGCTTAACTGATGAGGTATGGGGTCATTTGTAATAGAAAATTAAGCTAGACGTTAAAATGATTACTTAAATCAAATGAACTGACCTACTGCAATTAGCATTATTATGCCATTCAGCGTTTAACAATGAAGCTGATAAAACATCTGCCTTTGTTCATTTGTTCACCTTAATTTTTCGCTTCAGAATTAGTGCTTTAGATATATTAATAAAACTGTAATTGTTTAAAATCTGTCAGATTGGCCTGAAAGACTCCATTGTAAGGCTATATTAAATTCTTTGTGACACCATTTCTCAGCAATTAGGCTGCCCAATAAAATATCATTTTCATACTGAGGATTGATTTCCAGAACTATAAAAATAAGGTCATGGCTGTAAAAACAATGAATTCACCACCACTTTCATTCAAGGAAACCACACATTTAAATCAAGGTCTTCCACACAGAACACTAAAACAGCAAAATAATATAACTTAACTTGGTCAGTGCTGCCGTGTGATCCTCTCCACAGGCGATGTAAATCACTCTCTGCGATCTGAGGGACTTCAGCAAAGTTGGGAAATACCGATCTAAAAAAAAAAAAAAAAAAAAAGACATGACAGTCCGAGTTAAGGGGTTCAGTGCCCACAAGTAGTTTAGTTTTTTTTTTGACTACCTACCCTTGCTGTCATTGAGACCCAGCTGACCAAACTTGTTGCGCCCCCATCCAAACACTGCTCCTGAGAGAGTGAGGGCAAAGCTGTGAGCTCCACCTGCTGATATCTGGGCAAAAGGAATACCCTGTACAGACTGAATGATTTGGGGCGTGGAAATGCTCTGTCCATTTATTCCTATCCCAAGTTGTCCGTATCGATTGTGGCCCCAGGAGAAGATTTGCCCTCCTATTAAGAGAAATAGTCATAGCATGGTCTCAAAATGTGGAAAGCATAATAACCTCGCTGAATGCATGCGCATTATGTGGGTACAAACCATCCTCACCTCTTGAAAGTGCATGGGAGTGCCAAAACCCACAGGCTACCTGAGCAATTTGTACATCTGACAAACTCTTGATATTTCTGAAAAGAAAGAAATGAGCTTTGCTTGAGTTTTATAAATGTCACCATGTGCGGCAGAGTGTAATTAAGAAAGCTACCTTTGGTAAATATGATGATACATTTTGATGTTTTAAATAAGGATAGACCGATACATTGGCCGGCCGATATATCGGGCCGATATTTGAGTTTTTTACTTGTATCGGCATCGGCCGATACGCACGTGGGTTCGCGGATTTATTTTTCCCTGGCACTTTTTTTCATTTGAAAGTATGTGGTTAAGTTGAACAAAGCTGTTGAATCCTACTGTGTACAATAGTTGTTGTTTTATTTATGCTTCAGCTTAAATATTTGTTTATTTTATAAAGACATTACCGGAAGATTTAAGAGCAGTGAACTCTTTTTTTTATTTGAATGTATAATAATAATAATAATAATAATAATAATAATATTCTACTTGTTCTACCTCAACTTTCCATCTTGTTTTAGTATTTTTTACTGTTCAATAAATGTTTCTTATTTTAAACTTGAGACCTGTAATATATGTTATCATTGTGTCATTTTTTTTATGTAAATTGAGGGAGCAAAAGCAGTATCGGCCCCAAATATTGGCTCAAGAAAATCGGCAGTCCATAATCGGTCATCGGCTAAGGGAGATGAAAAAAAATCGGTATCGGCATCGGCCCTAAAAAATCCATATCGGTCTATCCCTAGTTTTAAAGGAGCGGTGTGTAGACTTTAGTGGCATCTAGTGGTGAGGACTGCTGACTGCAGCCAGCTGAAACTTATGCAATGTGCAAAGTGTAAACTCCCAGTTAGGATTAATTCAGCATTCATTCTTAAGGTTTTTACTGGGAGTTGAATTATCTGCAGAGGTCTCTTCCTCTCCAAAACAAACGGACCTGCCAGTGCAAAAATGCAAAATCATGAATGGCCCTATCAAAAGGCAGTGTTTGATTTGTCAGTTCTGGAAGCTATGTAGATATAAACAGCTCATTTTAAGGTAACATAAACACTACAATTCATATTGTCAGGTGATTATACACCAAAGAAAACATACTTGTTATATTATAATCCATCTCTGCAAATATATCCCTCTAAAATCCTACACACTGGACCTTTAATTACATGTATATTTACATGAGATAGCATGAGCAAATATGAGCAAATGCAGAACAAACAAAAAAGGTTTACAGCAAATCAGTAATTATGAAACATTACTTTGTGAATTTACCTAGGCACACGAACACATTCTTCAAAGTTATTTAGGCCCAGCTGCCCATCTGAGCCCTGACCCCATGAGAAAACCTGCCCTTTGTCATTCAGGGCGAGTGTATGAGCCTCTCCACACGACACTGCCAGTATGATCTGTGCATCCAGGGCCACTACCTGCTCTAATACAAGACAAAGAGAAATGTGATGAATGATTTCACCGAGTGTTACCATATAACACATGAAATACATAAATTTATTATTACCAACCTGGTTTCTTTCTGGACTTCTCATGTCCCAGCTGCCCCAGGTCATTGCAGCCACAGGTGTATACTGTTCCATCCTCCAGCAGGAAGGCTGTGTGTCTGTGGCCACACCCCACATCACACACTTGCTTCCCCTGAAAGAACTCACATTTTCGTGGCTCAACCACAATCTCCTCATCAATCCCACCCAAGCCTAACTGTCCGTAGGAGGCATTTCCCCAGCACAGCATCGTAGCTCTCCCCTCTGGTTAGACACGCCAGCTGTATCCCCTTCTCTGTGAAAACAAGAGACACACCTCGGCTAATATAACCTCACAGAGCACCGTCACATATCCACACTTTAGGCAGCGAGATAACACCTTAGCTGGAATCACCTAGCAAGGTAGCCAAATAACGTAATGGCTAAATAACATCACCGCTGCATGAAATACACGCCTACGTGTCGCTATCTTAATTATTATGTTTAGGATTTACTGATATATATGTACATCATAAATACAATGAACTCATAGCTGGCCAGATCGTATGTAAACAGATTAGCCTTGTAAGCTACAGTCAAATTAACGAGGAGTTACGTTGAGTTTGCTAGCTAAAATCATTGAAAACACCACTTCCGTTATGGGCGTCAGGAATTCCAAATTAAAGCACACGTCTCAACCTTTTTTCAAAAATGTATTGCTAATATTTCTATTTAAAGACATTTAACCTACTACTAGGGGTTTAAAATAATGGCCACTGGAATTAAAACAATAACTGCCCCGTTTCTGCTGATGTTTATATGAAAACGATTTTATTTTTTTAAGACGGAAGTACTACTTTTTCCGAGTGGAGGACCGAGAATAAAGACAGCTAGCACGCCTCTTGACGCCTGTTACCATGATTATTACAAGCGAGGCACACCAGTCATGACTGATGCAACTTGGCCAAGTTAATTCGGCTTATCTTACCGTTAGACTATTACAGTTAGAAATAGCGGTTAGCGAATTGAGGAAATATTTTATAATCAAATGTCTGACACGTGGTGAAATAAGTTAGCATAGCTTTTTTCCTAACTGCAGTAATGTTAGCAAGCTAACATTAGTCTCAATATAACGTAAATGTAACCCTTGCTATGAGTTCGTTTAGTAAAGTGAATTCATAGGCAACACAGTAAATTAAAGATACGTTATTCCTTTACGTCTGATAAAGGCAGTACACAAGTTACAACCGGTCTGAGTGTTGTAAAACGTTATAACCAAACAACAAGTCTTACCAAACCCACCAGCTCTGACGATGTTACTGTCTTCCAGTTTTGTTCTTTGCTGGCCCGACTGTTAAAAATGCACATACCCGCACATTTTAGTATTTAATATCAAAGGCCAACTACCAGCTACTTGTAAAAAAAATCCTACCCAATCCCTCCACTCCAGCGTCTGTCAACAACTGCTGTATGGAGCTGGTGGAGAACTCTGTCGAGGTAACTGCACTGCACTCTATATGTCCGGTTTGTCTTTCAAAAGTAAAAGTCATTTTGTAAGAGCGTAGCAGCGACACGTACAAGACCGTGCAAGAGTGCCATCCAGGTTTACTAGATGGTGAAAGCACTGTCAGGATTATCTAGATACCTGATTTTAGAAGTGTATTTTCGCTGAAATGTAAATGTGTTGACTTTTATTTTGAAGGCACACCCATGTAACCGGAAGTTTTTTCTGCTATTACATACAATTTACTTTATGGAGATAAATGTCGCGACGCATCTACCATGTTCTAGATGGGTCGCACACGCGCATGCGTCTCCCAGCACCTACATGCACACATACTACATACCTTACACACACGCATACACACACACACACACACACACACACACACACACACACAAAATGTAGGTATACAATGTGTGTGAATGTAACATAAACTTTAAAATGTTCTCAGCGCTCACACTGACACGGATTGTGTCTCATAATTAGAGGTTGTTAATGTAAAGGCACAAAAGTGTGTTTAAGTTCAAATAGATCCTATAAAGAACACTAAAATTGAAATATATGAGATGAGATTTTTTTTTTCCCACAATATTCCATATATCCCGACGTCGATATTATATGTAATATAATGTATTTTTAAAAATCTTTGTAAGTTTCGCTCACCTTATGCAATTAGCCTATGAGTCTCATAGAAGCTTCTGGAACTCATCTGCTGGCCATTTGCCTTTTTCAAACTATATTTCCCAATCTGATAAAGAGGCGAGGAATGGAGGAATGTGGCCCATGACACATTTGGCTCCCTCTAGTGGACCTTATACACAAATAAACTCACTCAGTCACTCGCCACTGCACTTCTTAAGAAAAGAAAAGACTGATGATATCATGTAGTAGTGTTTATTTATATTTTAGACCAACTATGATGACTAGTCTAGATATCAAAGAACATCTAGAACAGTATGTCTCTGGCAATACTGGACAACAACAAAAATATCTTTAGTGGGAATGATTGACACAACCACCACCAAGTGACACTTCTGAGGAAGGCAGAAGTTTCGCCAAAACATGTCAAGGAATGTAACATCCTAACACATGTCTGAGACAAAAAACAAAACAAAACAACTAAAGTCATTATCAGAAACTGAATACATAATGAACACCACTGAACTAACCTTCTTCTATCTCTATAATCATCATCTACATTATTGTTAATCAAAAAACAACAAAGCAGGACTCCAATTTGCAAAGACTCTTAACACTTTATTGATTTATTTGTTTTTTGGGTTGTTGTTTTTTTTTTTGCAAATTGTACATCTCTAATAATTTTGTATTACTTCTTAATCTGGAACTCTTGTTCAGTTATGCAATCTTCACTTTTATCTTTTTCTTTTTATGTATGATATTTGTCATTTTAATCAGGGAGTATCTTTTGGCTCCAAACCTCTCCTGCGCAATGTTGAGAATGTTATAGTATCATTTAATATATTACTGGATTGTTAATATTGATGTATACACGTCAGCAACACTTAAATGTTGTAGCAGGTACAAGTGGAGCTAAATTGAAATATGTTTTGTGCTGTCAGGTAGTTTATGACAATGTGTTGTATTTTGTAGTCTGTTTTATAGACTAAGTTTTTGTATGAAAAATCAAAGTAAGCAAAGCAGCCAGAAAGAAAGGTAGCAGAACAAAAAAAGTACCATATTACCTCTTATATATAGTGTAGTAAAATCATGTTAACTGTATGAAATTCAATAAAAGTAGCCCTCAAGTGAACTAGTACTTTAAAGCTGTACTCAAGCACTGTGCATGAGTAAATTTGCTCAGTGCCATTCAGCTTCTAATACTTCATATCACTTGCCATTAAAGTTTGAGTGGACAGCCACCGCACAAGAAATTTTAGTGGTTTCAATTTGATGAATACTTCATTAAAAAACAGTCTATGACAACAGCTAGCCTTTCCTATGTTGTACAGAATGTTACAGAACAGAGCATTTTATGTCCGGTATATTATTGCTTTGATCAGTACGCTTTCAAAGTTTGTTAATTGTAGATGAAATTCAGATGGACAGGTGGTGATGTATCTAATATTTTCCTAGTGTTTCACAATGCTGTGTTAAAATGTGACATCACAGGTCATGGGTGAGTTGTGACTCTTCTCTTTTATTGTTACCTGCAAGTGACAAACAGACAATCAGATACTATTTTAAACCTCAGAGGGCGTAAACACTGAAGGCAATGATTGCCCTCTTTCCAATAACAACAGGCCATTTTACACAGACATTTACGTAACAGCACGTAAAGTCAAGTGATTAATACCTTTCAGTTGTATAAGACCAGGTGCTCGTTGAAATGCAGTGTATCCTGTTTTACTGGTTCTTCATGGGTTTTACCTCATGACTTGTGGCCTGATGTCTCAGAGCAGGAGGAACTTATTTTACTCACATTAGGTTACAAATCAACGCACAAGCAGGACAGAACCAAGAGGGATACAATGTTGTACCTGCTGGGAGTAAGTAAAATTATCTTTATTCATTATCCTAATTTCTTCATGTCAGCTAATCAAAGTTTTTGTCTGATGAGGACTTTAATACTGACTGGTGATTTCCTTTTCCACACTCAGATCGTTGGCGGCCTTCTCTTCATCATAATGTGCTTTTCAAAAGGACTCAAAGAGGTGGGTAAACCTTTACAGTGTTTCTCTTGTGCCTGATTATCTGTTCTAAAAGGTAATTTGGATAAAGTATAAGACAAATCAACCTTTAAAAGACAAACAAAAACTGCACTGCAGCGGCTAGATGATGTGACCAATATAGGAAATAAATAAAGTGTGATATCCTGAAACTGTCATTTTCTTTGACAGGGAGTTAACTCTCAAAAACTACAACTACCCGAATCGTCTGCCAACAATAAGAAGGTGAGTAACTATCCAAAGATAAATGTTGTAATTGTTGATGATAATTGAGATTAAATATTCACATTCATCTCTTCAACAGAATGATCTGAGTGAAGAAGATGTGCATTTACTGGCCAAGATCCTTTCCGCTGGATTGGTGGATGCAGATCCAAACTATCTCCACCATCTTAAAGGCTACAGAGACCTGCATGGTGCATGATTTCTCTTCACAAAGCCACGAGGCCGCTACAGAAATGAATGAATGGCACAACGCTGTTCCTGGATATATCCATAGATGTGTGATGACATCAAATCAAGGCTCTTCAGCAATGTTTTGGATTACCACAAGTCAAGTGATTCCTGCAACCCTTAAAGATGTTCTTAGATTAATGGAGACATTTGCACTTTATTAGGGTCAAATGTGACATTGGTTGGAAACTGGAAATCACGTCACTGGTGCTCGATATGAATATGATCATTTTGATGGGGGATCCTGTTTGCTCTCATTATTGGCTGATTGTATAATTTGTGGAAAGGAGCTTGTGATATTAACATTCAACACCCACCTATTTTTAAATCAGGAAATGCAGAAAATGAAAACACAGAAACAGGAAGACTTGTGCTGTTACTGTAATGTGGTGCCTGCTTTATTGGGCTTTTGGTGTTCAAACTGCATGTTTGAGATGCTTGTACAATGTAAATACTCCTTTGTTGAGCTGTAAAACTAAACTCTAACATTTATATCAGAGGTATACAGTTAAGTGTTGCTCAATGTGGCTGTAGTATGCACTTTCAGCACAGAGACGAGGTAACCCCTTCAAAGTGAACCTATGTAACGTTTGTGTAACAGCAGCTACTGCGGATGAAAGTAATGGAATCATGTTGGCTAGATTTTTTGCTGTTCAGCAGTTAGCAACATGATGACAGCAACACAAGTGGTTAACAATCATACAGTCAGTAAAGTGTGTCAGTAATGAGTGTTAAACAGCAATATTTACCTATGGTTTGCTAACTTTAGCTAACATTAGCCACCCTAAGCTCCTGGTCATACCAGACCAAGAAAGGCTATAGCAGAAAAAACCCCTGAGTGTATTTATTTGAGTAATGGTGCCATTAATGCTAATAAATTCAACATTTAATATGAAAGAAAAAGAACGTGTAACCTCTTCTTTCAAAAGTTACAGTCTTGCTTTAAAGGATTACTGTTTGACCATTTTCATGTGGCAGAAAGGCTAAATTACTTTGTTATTGCTGTCATTTTGTTCATGTCCTTGCCTAGAGTAAAGGAGACAAGAAAAGGAGAGATTAGATTCAAGTGAACATTTTACTATATGTTTGATTTCAGTGGTAGATTTAATGTATCTTACTCCAGACGTGGCTGTTGAGCTTGTCCCCGAGCACGTAGAGCAATGTCACCACCAACATGTTGAAAAAGAAGAAGCCCACTAAACCAGGAGAGCTGAAGTGTGCAAGAAGGGGATACACCCAAATCCCAACTGACACATACACCCATATAATCCTGCAGAACACGTTTAGAGAGAGAGAGAGAGAGAGAGAGAGAGAGAAAGAAAGAAAAGTATCACTGTATCTGTCAAAACATCTTGTACCATCTTGTATCAAAGAACTAGTATTTCTTGTGCAAATATTTGCAGGCACATGGCTTTGACACTGAGGACATTGATTGTGAGACTGTAACAGCTAAACACTCAGTATAATAAAGAACCATCTCCTCATCATACAGTATATTTGTGGTCTGTAGCATGAGACACACCAGGATCTGTAAGTAGCATTAAGGTATGTGAAGTATTGAGACACAAAGGAAGCTTTTACCCCTCAGGCTGTTTGCATGGTGAATAAACACTGCTGCACTGGACTTGTCTTGACTAGTTAAACTAGACATATTTAGACACTGCTGTGCTTTGAACCAGAGGCGTGGATTCAAGTCACAGGAATTGGAGTCAAGTCATGAATTTGCTTAATTTAGACTCAACGTGACAAAATTAGACTTGCAACTTGACTTCAACACCAATGACTCGCGACTTCACTTGGACTTGAGCCTTTTGACTTGAAAATAACTTGATACCCTCCCCCAAGCCCAAAGATTAAAAAGTATGTTATTTAAGAGTGTGCCACAAACCAATCTGACTTGACTTGAATGCAAAGACTTGAGACTTGTGACATGCCAAATAATGACTTGGTCCCACCTCTGCTTTTAGCCCCTATGGCCGTGGAAGATACAATAAGCTTCAAATGAATGCTGAGTCAAGAAGGATTTCATTGTTTTGCTGTGATGTTTCTCTGTTAACTACGTGCCTGATAAATGTTTCTCACGATTTTGCTGTACTGTGTGCTGACTCAACACTTACCAAAATAAGTAAGCCAAGCCCACACCTCCTAATGCTGCCAGCGCATGTTTAGTCTGTGGGTAGCTGTGAGGCTGCACCAGCACCTCTCCAAGTAAAACAGGAAGAACAAATGTGTGCTGAGAAAACAGTGTGGGAACAGCTCGTTATTGGATTGTTTATGACTGTGGAGTCAGGATTATTTAATTGTTTGTTATACAACTGTTGAACTTGCAGATTTACTGACCATAGCATGATTTATCCAGGGGGGGAAGAAGGTGTCAATAGTAGCCGGGTAGACTAATTCTCTGTCGTAGGCAAAGATTGTCCAGAAAAGTAGAACAACAAACTAAACAAAAAGCAAAGAACATAGAGTTTATGTGTAGCACAAGTTTTATTTTATGATAGAGAAAAGGTAGGATTTTCAAAAATGTGTTTCTCACCATGCCCACAGGGAAGGCAAAGACAGAAAAGAGAAGGTCTTTACATCTGCTCAGAGTGCTTTCTGACTTCTTCCCAGGTTGTAGATCATTCAGTGCCGCCAGTCCAAAGAATGACATTTGTAATAACTGAAATATTACAAACAACATTATTGTTTTGCATCATCCTTTGTTACATCTGCTACATATCATTGTGAATGAATATATTACTGCTATTTTTACTGGGTAATATGGGTAATGCACTCACCAAATTCAAAAAAGTAAGGTACTTCCAAGGTCCTCCATAAACAAAGATTCCTGGTGGTAACTCCTCTCCATCCTTAGCAGCGAGACTCTTCACAACAAAAGCATACCAGCTGAATGCTGTGATATGGTACGCTTTCCTCAGCGTTGAAGTCATACTAGTGTAAGCTTATACGGACCAGACAAACAACAGAAATAAATTAAACACTGGCAAAAACTTTGTTGCAAAGTTTGACTGTTCCCTTCAAATGTGAGGTACTTCAGGCACTGAAGGTTTTTAAAGATTAGTGTAATTCAGCGCAAGCTTATCAAGACGTTTGCAAGCAGCGGAGACAAGAGGCCCACTGTTTCTCATGGAAGCATAGGAGTCCTTCTTTCATAACACACTGTAGCATGTGACTGGCTGCCAATTTCATTCACAGTGAGAGCTTAATTGGTTGCGTAGCGTTTTGTAAGAGAAGCCCTGTCAAGTTAAGTAATTCAATCAGTTCAACTTAAGTAACTAAATCTGTTCAACTTAAGTTACTAAATCAGTTCAACTTAAGTAACTAAATCTGTTCAATTTAAGTAACAATCAGCATCACTTGACAAATTTGATACTTGAACTGATATTTACACTAGGAGGTGGCAGACGTTTAGCAAACTCCTTATCTAATGGGTACCCAGATTTGATTCTGTGTTTTTCTCCATAAACAGATATTTGCGTAGATCACTGTCACTGAGACGACAGCCCATGGGTTCCGAGATTGGCATCTGTAAAGCTGTTTGGCAGTTGACTTTGAACTCTGACCTCATTGTGGATGAGCACGCATTTTTTGTCAACTTTTTTGAAGTCAGACAACTTACACTGTAACTTTTAATGTCGTTTAAATCAGTTTAATATCTTCTCTGTTGTTTCACAAGATGAATGACAGATGCAACTTTGTCTTTCTTAGGTCCAAGAAAGGGATTTGAATGATGGTAGTAACCGATACTCTTGGCCTCAGGGTGGTGCTAGAGGAAAGGCCATTGTGGTGAGACACTCAGAGATGCTTTGTGTAGACTTGGGAATCACAGGCTAAGCAAGGCGTGATTTGTTACAGTACCACCATGACATGTTGCCTAAGATGTTATCAAGATACATATTGTTCTGCTACTGCAATTAACCATGAGACCTCGTCAGTGTATAATGCCTGAAAATGAAAACTTGCATATTTTATGAAGTACAAGTTAGTCACATTTGCTGTTCCATAAATCATTAAGCAGAAGAGTGAGACATGTTCATTAATTCGCATTGGACAACTGACTTTCAATTATGTCTTAAATCAAAAATTGTACTTACCTTACCCACAAAATGACCTTTTGTATATCTATTACTCATGCCATGTCATCTTGAATTCATGAAGAAAACTTTACTTTTCTTGCATGCCTCCACAGGAAATGTTGAACATTGATTTACTGATTTATAGGGGACCACCTTTAACAACAGTAAATCTATCAAAACATCAATTACAAACTCTCACACAACTTGTGCAGTACAATCCAAGTCTCTTTTATCCAGTCGCACCCTCAATATTTCCCAAACCCCTGCATTTTCACTAAAACTGGACTGAAAATGAACTTTACCCATGTGCTCTTCAAAGACAGACTCCAATACTAAGGTATTGGTATTTTTGGGGTTATTCCTATGTTTCCAGGGTTCTATGTTTCCCAGGTTCTATGTTCCCCACTTAACCCTGCAAAAAAGGTTCTATGTTCCCCGCTTACACAAAAAGGGTTCTATGTTTCCCGCTTGGTTGAGTGGGCAACATAGAACCCGGGAAACATAGAACCTTTTTTGTGTAAGCGGGGAACATAGAACCTTTTTGCAGGGTTAAGTGGGGAACATACTGTAGAACCCAGGAAACATAGAACCCTGCAAACATAGATACGCTCCTGAATCATGCTGATTCACTGTCACACAATCATGACTCACTATCTTAAAGAATGGAGCCTTTGGTATTATTAGTAACGCCTGGGCTTTCCCTATCATGACAAGTCAAAATATCCGCTTTGAAAAAGGTGTATACATAATAAAGATGTGTATAAATCACTACATTTGTCTCATTTAATCAGTTGAACCAGTTTAGCTTCTCTCAGTAACTTTCTTTTATAACATCAGGCACACAGAAGCCAGAAAAACACTTTAAGAAATTTTATTTACAAAAGGCAAGTGTTGCTGAAGACAGTTTGATAGATCCATTATAAAAAAGTAGAACTATGAGAGTACAGTTTTACATAGTGTTGTGTAAATATTTTGCAGTTTTGGAATTTCTCTTCTCAGTGTACAGGTATGACAAGTTTTCATTCAACAAAGCACATTTTCAGAGACAGTTAAAGGGTCAGTTCCAGCAAATTACAAACATAACCACGTCTGAGTCACTCAGCCCCAGTGGAATGTTGCCATACAGGAATCCAACAATTGAAACACTTAAAAAGCAGCATATCTTTCCTTATGTTGTTTGTTCCCAAATCATCAAAATACAAATAATTTGGATGACTCAGGTAATTTGGATGAACTGACCCTTTAAGACCACTACAAGCAGCTTGGAAAACTGACATTTATCCTCTATGAGTCCTGTTGTAATCAAAGTTTGATAGAAAAAAAGAAACAAAAAAACATTACATACTGTGTGGTGCAATCATCTATACATTCGTATTGTAGGTACATCATGTTTTAGCTGCAGATCTGTTTCAATCTCAGGTTTGTTCATCATTTTTCATCAATTCCATGTCTGTTTCAGCTTACAAAGATTTAAAGCTATCATTTATTTACACCAGAACAACAACAGTCCTGCATGGATATACATTTATATATCCACTTGTTTCACAGACATGTGATTATCAACATCTTTAACATGATTGTGAAATACTAAAATATAAGCTACAGTATATTACAGTTGTACAAACTCCTACTACTTAAGATTATGTTACACTTTTATGTCACATTTTGTCTTAAAACCAGATAACATCAATAATGGCTGTCAAAAAGGCGAGAACAGACCTCATCATAGAAGCAACCTGTTGCAAACATTGCACTTTACCCATGCAGTCAGTAAAAAACATATTTGATCACACATGTAGTCTCAGTCCATGTACTTTTTACACTGGTAACATCTTGGTGATTCACCCACAAGAAGCCCTTTGTTGGTCACCAGGTTTATATTTTTAGTTATTTTACTTAATGTTCTGCCCTTTCAAGTTCAGTGCCACGATACTGCTTTGCTGCCTCTTCTTCACATAATGTGCCTTGTTTGCAGAATACAAATAGAGAAATCTATTTCTGTTAAATATATTTGGTGATAAAATGCCTTCGTCATCATTTCAGCTTTTTTTGGTCTTTTGCCTTTATTGGAAACTACAGACAAAGAGTGATGAGAATGGGTGGTCGGTGGGGGGGGGTCTCAGCATCAGTACATGGAGCGCAAACACTACCAGGTGAGCTACTTGGCTACCCCATCATCTCAGTGTTTTACTTGAATTTGCTTCTTGCTACACACACCGTGTGTGCTGTTTATCCTCTCAACTTTCATCGGATCCCATTTAAGGTGCCATCTTTGAAAGTGAAAGAGACACACTGAGTTACAACAGGGGCAACACAACATGCTTTTTAATGGGTAATATGAATGATTGCAATACTATTTTCATACCTCAAATCGGCTGTAAACTTTCCTCTCCTTCCTCATGCTCTGAATCCTCTCTAACAACTTCTCACGATCTTCACTTATCTTAGGCTGCCCTCTGGTGAGTGAGCTGATCCCTTTTTCTTTCTCCTGCTTTTTGTCAGCTTTGTCTTCTTTCTCGTCATCTGTGACAGGGGAGTCTTTGGCAGCTTCGTTCCTGTTTTGGCTATTAGCAGAAATTTGCTCTAGAAGCAGCTTTGTATCGTCTCTGAGGTTGCTGCTTGAGAGCACGTTGGCTGTTGATGATTGATAGCGAGACTGGCTTGATTTTGGCTGCTTGGACTGTGGTGACTGGGGAGATACTTTATCTGATGTGACCTCTGGCGATTCAGAGCAATTATTTTGCTTTACTTGGTCATTTGTTTTCTCAATGCAGACTGATCCCTGTGTAGTGGCTTTATTAACCTCATTTCTGTCCTTGGTATCAACAGTTTTTTCCTTAACAGGCTGGAGCTCAGTTTCTTTATCAAAATCATTTGTGGTCGTGGTGTCAGTAGTTTCTTTCGTAACAGGCTGAAGCTCAGTTTCTTTATCAAAATCATTTGTGGTCGTGGTGTCAGCAGTTTCTTTCTTAACGAGCTGAAGATCAGTTTCTTTATTAAAATCATTTGTGGTCTTGGTATCAGCAGTTTCTTTCTTAACGAGCTGAAGATCAGTTTCTTTATTAACCTCTTTTGTGGTATCAGCAGTTTCTTTCTTACCAAGGTCAGGCTTTTCAGGCTCTTTGCTTACTTTATTCTGACTGTCCATATTACTATTTTCAGCAGTTACCTGTGATTCTGAAGGCTGGGTTTCAGGTGTCACAGATTCAGGTGTTTTGCATGGCAGATTGGGCTGTGATGGGACTTTCGAGGTAGGCTCACTTGGGCTAGACGTTTCTGTTGATGGGAGCTTTGGAGTTTTATTTAAGTCTGTTGCAATCTGCTTGGGAAGACAGCTAGTATCTGGGGGGCTGTGCGATTCAGGTGATGACTTTTCAGCTTCAAGGGACAAAACTGATCCAACTGACTCAGTTGGAGGAGAACATGACACTGTTTCAGCAGGTAGAAGTGGCTTTGAAGGATGGGTTTCAGGAGTCACAGATTCGGGTGTTTTGCAGGACAGATCAACCTCTTTTGGGACTTTTGAGGTAGGCTCAGTTGGGCTGGACCTTTCTGTTGATGGGAGCTTTGGAGTTTTGTTTAAGTCTGTTGCAACCTGTTTAGGAGGAGACTTAGTATCTGGGGGACTGGGCAATGCAGATGATGATTTTTCAGCCTCAGGAGACAAAGCTGACCCAACTGACTCAGTTAGAGGAGAAGAACATGATACTGTTTTAGCAGGTACGAGTGGCTCTGAAGGATGGGTTTTAGAAATCACAGATTCAGGTGTTTTGCAGGGCAGATCAGCCTCTTTTGGGACTTTTGAGGTAGGCTCAGCTGAGCTAGATGATTCTGCTGATGGGAGGAGTGGAGTTTCATTTGAGTCTTTTGGAATCTGTTTGGGAAGAGCGTTAGTATCTTGGGGACTGTGCAATGCAGACAATGTTTTTTCACCCTCAGGTGACAAAACTGATCCAACTGACACCGTTAGAGGAGAACATGATACTGTTCCAGCAGGAGTAGGAGTGACAGATCCTTTCAGGTTAAGTTCAGAGGGAGGGGTCGCTTGTATTGGTGCATCTTGAGGTGATGCAGTTGCTTTTGCCTGGGAAACATTAGGAGTTAAGTCTGGATGGACAGGAGAGCTTAATTCTGCTGCAGACTGCTTGGGTGGAGTGTCTGCTGCGGAGGGAGTAGGACTTACAGCCTCATTTCGATCAGATTTGGATTTCCTTTCCAGATCAGACACATCAGATAGATTAGATTCAGGCAATGAAGTGCTAAGGCTAGGAGGTGTGCTGTCAGCTTTGACATCCTTTGATGATCCAGAATGCTCAGATTCCTCTTCAACAGCCTTTCGAAGAGTGATGTTTTCTGATGCAGGAACATCTTCTTCTGAAGGTGTAGGAGCACAATGTTCTTTAGAGTCCGTCTTTGACGTGGACTCTAATGAGGATAAGTTTTTCTCTGAACCAGCAGCACATGTGTCAGCAGAAATATTAGATTCCAAATGTGCAGAGTCATCTCCTGAAGGGGTCTCAGATGATGTCATTTGGGAGGGTTCTTGCACTGAGGAGCTGACAGATTGCTTTGTTTTTGGGGACCCTTTGCTGGAAGTTAGGGTTGAGCTCGAGTCTGCTTGGGTAACTTTGGAGGGTGTGGTGTCTGCTGAAGTTGGTGCAGGACTTGGACTGATCTGTGAACCCGAATCTGGCAGAATGTGATCAGAGGAAGAACTCTGGCCCAATGGTTTGGAAGAGCTTAATTCTGTTCCAGCTTGTTGTTTGGGTAGCAGTGGAGAAGTGGATGTGCTGGTTTCTGACTGAACTGATTTAGGATTTGGGATGTTAGAATTCAGTGCAGCAGATGTAGAAGATGGTGATACCTCCACTAAACTAGGAATGAGTGAACTAGACTCCTTTGAGGTAGAATCAAGGCGTGGGCTTTCACTTCCGTTAGTGCCTTTTGCAAGAGAAGAAACACTAGCAGGAGTAGCATTTGTTGGTGTAGGTGGCTGACTGGGGCTCCTTGTTTTTACAGCAGGATTTGACAGCTTTCGCTCTGCTGGTGGTTTGCTCTGAGGTGCTTCTTTTTCTGCCAAGACAGGCAGAGTTACTGCTGACTGGCTTTTCTTTAGCTTAGTACCCTCTAAATCAGTTGAAACGCTGGTTTGTTCTTGTTTAAAGCTTTTGGGATCAGTCATAACCTGACTGTCCTGTCCTGACTTATCACTGACATCTAAAGACAGACTGACTGACTTGCATGCTTCTGTTTTCCCTGCATCCTCTGCAGCAGCATTTTTTTCTAATAAACTCTCAGATGTTGAAGTGTCAGTCTTCTTTTCTGCGGTTTCTTTTGGTACAGGTTCCTTCTTTATAACAGTAGTATTGTTTTTCAGCTCAGTTGTTGGTTTCAGCGAAGCATTATCTTTACTCTTTTCAAGTTCTGCAGCCTTAGCAGCTTTGCGTTTTGCTGCCAATTCTTTGAAAAACATGAGCCTCTTATCAGGATCATTCATATCTACATGGGATGGAGTGGCGAGGAAAGATTTGGATGACTGTAATGGTTGATCAGTTTTGGGCAGCTTAGCTTCAGAAGCCTTTGATTGAGGCACTGATGGTGAAGAATTTGTTTGCTCTACATCTGGCGGTTCTTGTACTTCTGAAAGAGTTTTTGAATTTTCTTCCTTTGGTGAATCTTTATCATCTGCTTTACGGTTTCCATCATCTTGTTTGGATGGGTCTGTGGAAGAGCTATCAAAGGTGGCTGACTTTATGTAACGGGTCCATTCAAACGGTTCTCTTGCAGTAGCCCTTCTTTGTCCCAAAACCTGAGAAACAAAAGGTAGTTTTGTCTGTTCTGCCTCATTTTTGTCAGTTTCCTCATCCTGTTGGCCTGGAGCAGTTTTGGTGTCTTGAGAAGTATTCTGCTGCTCCATAGAGCTGAAAATCAGAGATGATCTTAACCTAGAGCTCCTCGGTATTGCTGCATTGTATTTCCTACGGAACGACTCCTCCCTTCGAAGACCAACAGTTTTTGGTTCCTTTTGTTCTGCCTCCTCCATCTTGTCTGTTTCAGTTGTGGATGATGATTCTGAAGGTGTTGGTGTTGTTTTGGTCTCTGCTGCTGCTGCTGCAGTTGGTTCATCAAGCAATTTCTTTGGCTGTTCTCGTGCTGTGGTTTTGGCATAACTTGGCACCTGACTTACCCTGGGTATTGCAGGAACCTTAAACTCTCTGACATTGGGGATTTTCGGGACCTGTAAATCTGTGCCTGGTGTTTGCTGTATGACGTTGGTGGTCTCTTCAAAAGGATCTGGTGCATTAGGTGGTGTCGATGGCAGGCCTTCATCTCCTGTATTGTCATATGTACTGAGGTAGGAGCTAATCCTCCAGTTTCTTAGCCCCCGTTTCACCATGGGATCCTTGCGATCTGTGTTCGGCTCCTGAATTAACGGCTTCTGATCTGGATTTGAGGGGGTGGGAGATACTTGAGATGCACGTAGCTTGCCCAAACTCAGTCTTCTATGGTGAGATGAACCAAACGGTAAATCTGCTCCAGGTGGTAATCTCTCTGAACCCTGGTCAAAGTCTGCTAATCTGGTTGATGATAAATAGTTCAGCACAGGGTCAAAGTTATCAGGTGGTTCAATCTCCTGTGGGAAACCAGGTTCAGAGTACTGATCTGCTGATTGAAAGTCTTGGTTCCAGAACTTGTCATAGGTACTGTAATCTGCTTCTTTTCCTGGTCCTAGATAAGGTTGCTGCCCCCTGTGAAACTGCCTTCCCTGGTTCTCAGGCTCTGGCATTCCCTGTTGCTGCAAGAATGGGTAGGAGAATCTACCATGAGCACCTTCAGCATAACTGTGACGTTTGAAGGCGAGATTTTCCATCAAGGGCATCCTGGAGGGGCCCTGATCAAAGGAAGGATCCATGCGAGATTGCTGAGATGGAAATCTACCATACATTTCTGCAGGGCCATGCAGGGACTCCTGCTTTTTGAGAGGCATCATTCTCCGATCAATATCCATACGTTCATCATAGGAATGTCTCAGCCATTCCTCTGGATGAGCGGTGTCCAGTGACTGAAATTTCTTTGGCTCTCTGTACATTGTTCTTTCACTTGGATATTGCCTCTTCTGAACAAGGCTAAACTCTTCCATTGGATTGACATTTTCAATCACCAGCGGTTCAGACTGAGCGTACAGAATCCGAAACTCTTCATCAAAGGTCGTTACAAGCTGTCCAAGGAAAAGGTGTGCCATACAGCGGTGGAGCTTCTCAAAAGACCACATGAAGCTGGACAAAGTAATGACAATAAGTAAGAATTAATAGGAGCACTTCATTTGTGACATGCACATATCTGGTATTAATGCAAACAGATACAAACTGTATGCATTCATAAAAACATAAATTGTGATACCAAGTGTAAGTTATGACTTTCTGTGGCAGTTTTAATATTTTCACCTGTAGTTTCCACTCAGCACAGCCCTGCAGTCTGTCAACAAGAAACGATCCATCATCTGACCTTTGAAGGATTTCCCTGAGCGGCAGTGATACGTGATGCCAGACACTGTTCTCACGCGCAAAAGCTGCAAGACACACATCAAAAATTCAAAATTTTAAAAATTAATATTAAGTTAAAGCAGTGTGTACTGTATGGTAGTGTAAATGTTTTAACAGAAATCCACGCTAGGTGGCAGTATTGCTTTAAAGCCACATCCAAATAAGAGGTGGAAAATAGCTGCACTTCAAGTTCCCTTTTATAGTGATATGCAGTTACTGTGATTTCTGTCAGTGGGACAAGTGTCTGTATTTACTGGCTAAATTTAATCTGAGCAGAACAATCATGACAGAAAAAATGAACACTGTAAAGGACAACATGGTATAGTGTTACAAGCATACACAAGAGAAACACAAGAAAAAACATAATCCTAGAGGCTTGACAATATTGCTTATAATATGTAGCATATACAATTCTCATTGCTAATTGCACAATTGTAATAATAATATAAAATACATTTCTAATAATAGTCAAGTCAGTTGGAGGTATGTGCCAGCCACACAATGTTTGGAAAGAAAAGACTGTTAAGTTGTCTTTGTTTGTTTGACGGAGTCACCTCTAGCAACAGCTGTAGTGTAAACACTGTACTTCTGCTTTTCCCCACAAGTTCTGCTAATATTGACGGAGCACGACTGTTAAAGCGTAAGTCTGCTGATATTCTGTATTTTTGCCAACTGATCCCATGACTCAGTACTTTGTGGCTTTCCAACTCTGTCTGTGGCTTCAGCCCAAAGCCTATTCGTTCCTACTACAAATGTTAATCTTTGACAATGGGTCACAAAAACTGGCGTAGTATAGAGCTGAACACTGTAGCTTTTAGCAAATGTTACTCAATCAGGAGTAAATGGTTTATTTGTTGGGGATTATTTTCATGAATATTTGTAGTAAAATAGTTAAATGTTACTGTATTCATAACTTTTTTTGTTGAAGAGAGCACAAAAAATTCAAATATTTAAATGTATTTACTAACTCATTACCAACTACTACTTGTTTCAGGTTCAGACTTTTTTAAAAGCTCTACAAAAAAACGAAGCTCTTTGGTAGTAAGGCTGGGCTAACTGGGAGTACTTGAAGGAAATGGAAAGATTGATGGTATTTAAATATGTAAACAGTCTTGTTTTTTTTTCTTTCTTAAGGAAAACATAGCCCAACTCACTTGAATGTTGTGTAGATTGACTCTGCAGTTGGAAACCATGTGGACAAAGTGATGTGCATTCTGCTCATCCAGAATGATGTAGACAGCAACGTTCCTCATGGCAGCATCGAGAATATCCGCAAACATGTCAACATCAGTGAACATGTCCATCACTATAGCAACCACCTGCGGAGATAAAAGCCACAAGCATGATGTGAATGAACATGAATGATACTGCGAAGACAAGTTTAGCATTAAGTCATCCTCCATTGAGAAAGTGAAGGATCTACCTGTCGAGCATTCTTGATAAGTCGTCGTGCCTGCTCCTTGATGCTCGGCATGTCAGGCTCAGGCGGGTTGACCAGAGTGGTGACCTCTGTGGGTCCAAGGAAGGGATGCAGCTGAGGCCAGCCAAGGTCCAAGCCTGGGGCTTCCAGGTCCGAGTGAATCGGCCAGTAAGTGTCTGAGGAGCCATCTCCCCCAATCTCCAGAAAATGTTGTTCAGGGTAGTTGCTCTGCTGAGGGACCTGGACAGAGCTTTGAATATAGTGAATCTCAGGTGTGGATAGGAAGTCCACCACATCTGCTTTTTGGAGGAACTGATAGTATCCCTCCAAGTCCTCCTCAATCAGTGCGTCAATGGCTAAGCGGTACTCTTCCCGATAGTGAGGGGGGAGGTAGTTGGGGTCCAGGGGGTTATCCCCAGCAGAGGAACACTGAGAGCGTCGTGCCATACTGTAGTCTAAAGACAGGGCGAAGGCAAAAAGAGAAGTGATGAATTTACTGTAAATCATATGAGTTATTGTCACACGACATCTGTTTCAGTTTCATCAGATATCACAACGAGAATATCCGATAGATAGTTGTAAACTCAATTAGAGCTGAAACAATTGATCAAAAATTATCTGCAACAACTTCGATAATCAGCTGAATGTTAGGGATCACCTTCCAAGCAAAGATGCCCGAATGTCTCTAGTTTAGGCTTGTCCAATATGAATATTTCTTTGTTTTAAATCCTATTATCCAGAACCTAATATCTTTAGGTTCTGGAAAGTTTTTGGACAAAACAAGACATTTTGAGGACATGATCTTCGGCTCGAGAAAATAATCATAATGTGGAGCCATTGTCATTTATTGTCCTTCAGAGGAAATAAATCATGAGATGATCCCATGCTGTTGTCACTTTACATAACTCTGTTGTCCACAATGATTACTGTAGTTTCTGTTTTACAGGTTTGTAGTGGTGGAATGGAACTAAGCACATTTTGCCTACTCAAACACCATACCATACCAAATACCATACTTGTACTCTGCTTCAGTGTTTCCATTTTATGCTATTCTTTACGTCCATGATATTTTGGAGTCAAACACTGTACTTTTTACTCCACTACATTTATTTGATAACTTAAGTTAGGCTACTGGTTACTTTGCATGTTTAGATTAATACATTATAATATACTATTACAGATTATTACAAGTTACCCAGCGGGAGATCACCCTTTACCAGCTACGACATCAACGTGATGCACAGAAAAATGGCTCACTTTTAATAAGCCAGTAATATAATGTGCATTATCTGTTCTGCGTAATAGGTACTTTTACTTTTGGTACTTATGCTGAAGCTAACACTTTAGTAGTACTTAACTTGAGTTACATTTTGAATGCATCTCTTTTACTTGCAAGAGTATTTTAACACTAGTATTGTTACGTTTACTTTGGTAAAACATGAGCATGTTTCCACCACTGCAGATTTGAAGTGTCAGCTGTTAGGATCAATAGTTGTCACTAGGTTGAGCATCATTTTAACTACTTCACATATGATTTTGCATCCATTTGTCCTTTTGTGATATATATTAAAATCAGAAACAATAACTTTTTCATTTCATGATGTTTATTCCACCCATGTCTCCGAGCCTTACAGGTAATGACCTTATTCAAAGAGTTCAATTCATTCTGCTGAGATCTAGCTACCAAACAAGAGATGGAGCCCTTACCACAGGGACAGGCCTATATTATAATACTATACTAGAGACAGCACAATGAATGAGGGGAGAAGGAATCTAACCACAGGATAGATGGGTTATGGGTGTGGCTCCTCCCTCTGGCCATAAGCCCGAGTCTCCATTTGCAAGTTCATGTAACGTTAAAGCCGCATATATGACAATTGCCGAGAGGAAACATCACAGTCCAAACAAAACACCAAAAAAACAGGACTGACAGGATGAAGTAAGAAGAATAAATAACCAATTAAACGGCTGTTTGTCACTTTGACTGCTGACTGTTAATTCAGACTTCACCTACACACTTTTCCTCCCCACTAAAACATGGGGAAAATGACATATGAGGAAACTTTAACAAAGCCAGGTAACAGTGTAGCACAAGTCAATATGCGCCAGCCAAAAGTTAAACCTTATCTCCTGAAGTCTCCACAACACACCGCACAGGCCTGAGGTTACTCGGTGAACTTACCCCGCTGTTATTGACTCGTCAAACTTCCATGTTAAACTTTACTCCCGTCATGTTGCCTTCTTCACCATGTTTTCCTCCACAACTGCGCCGTGCTTCTAGTCCAGGTGGGACTTGTCGAAAGTTTTCTGTTACATTGCTTTTACCCCTTCACCCAGCTAAACCAGTTTATTGTCATGCTTGAGGCATGTTGGCGAGAATGTTTGAGACAGAGAGCACACACACACACACACACTCACAGATAGAGAGAGACGGCTGCTGTCGACTAATTCTCGCCCCGCCTCGACTTTTAGCTCACAGTTTGCTCACTTGTGCTCCTCACAGCTCTGTGTCCATGCTTGTCCTGAGGCAGCTGAACTCTGCACATCTGTTGTCTGTCGGCTGAAGCTCCAGCTGAGTGACTCCTGCTGATATAAACTGCGACCAAACTGCGTAATGGCTAATTAATGTAATATCAGGCAGTGCCGGCTGCTCCATAAACCCCCTGCTCATATTCATTAATGTTTAAAGCATCTGTCATAATTCATCATTCTTCATCAAATCTCAGTTGCCCTCCTCCTTCAAATGTCTAACTTTATTGTTCAATATAAGAAATAAATAAATCAGTGTTGTAAGTAAACTGTCTTAAGAAGTGACCAAACCTTAACCCTTCTAACAAGGCACCCTGTAAAATGTTAATAAGCTATGGCTGTATTAATTCTTTATACATAATTTACTAATGGTTTTCAGACCAATTATTAGCTATTAATAAGTAAAACTTGGGTTGCCAGCTTATGAAAAAACATTAATAAAGCCTCTACCAACTGCTTTCAGTAGGCTATTGCCCCAGGGCCCCAAATCCTGAAGGGGGCCCGAAGGCTCCAAGTTAAGTAAGTGGCAATAACTTTGTGTTGGTTTAATTAATTGCTAATTTGTATGATAATATGTACCACTAAAGCACAATATAAACTAAATAAGATCTTGAGTCCCCTCCTTGTGGAGACTTTTAAAGGGCAACACCACCTAAATAATGAAAGTGCAAGTGTACACTTTATTTGGATATTTTCTCCACTTTATCTTTGACACTAACCAATCAAGTCTAGAAACTACAGTGTTCTGCTAAGGAAAATTACTCTTTTTGTCAATGGAGTCTGCTGTGATAGAATGGCTTTAATTCTCCATTGAAATAGACTGCCTGATGGCAAGGTAAAGCAGTGAATATATTCTAAATATAGTGTACACTTAAACTGATATTGATTTGTTTTGGTGGGCCTTTTTTCAGGTGGCTGAAAACAACCAGTTGAGGCAGAGTTTGCTCAGTGCCATTTGATTTTAATGTACATTACGCGAGGGTTTTCTATCTGGAGGTTACTGTAAGTTAACACAGTGTTTCAGTCTATTTCATTGTAGCGTTCGCATCTCTGAAACAGAATATATACCGATATACTCAGAAAATTCCCCTGGGTGCTCAGTGTTATCAAGAACATCTTTTGCAATTTATTGTTTATAGAGCAGCTCCAGACTTTATACCCTATGACATCACAAATTAGAGTTTTGGCTCTCTGGCCTTTGAATTTGGCAGGGAGTTGTTCATGTTTACTTATTTTTGGACTGTCCAGATCAGGTGTCTTTCTTCAGTGGCTCCCTGTGGCTCTGACATAAAAGTATATGGAAAATAGTAATGGTTTTTTTGGTATTCAGATTTTCATTTGTCATTGTTGTGGGCCTACAGTGATTATATTTTCTCTAATTGTAAAAATGTGTAGCCTATCAAATTTTTAAAAAAGTTTTAACATTTCATCAATTGTAGTATGCATCATATGTTTATGACCTGATGCTTTTTCTTCCAAATTTTGCTGAACTTCAGTAGCAGTGGCTAGTCTGAAGTCTCTCTAGCAAGGCCAGCTATGGATTACAAATCCAGAAAAGGAAAAGTCTTGGAGGAAAGTAGAGGATTTAATAATGTGTGGACAGATTTATTTGCTTTCACCACCAATGCTGCAGTTGTTGAAGTACTAGATCAATCTATCAATCAATCTTTATTTATATAGCACTTTTCATACAAACAGAATGCAACACAAAGTGCTTTACACAATAAAAGCAATAACATGATAACTGAGTTTGCTTTTAAAAATATCAACACTCTCCGCAGCCCTCAGGTCTTCAGGCAGGCTGTTCCACAGATGTGGACCATAGTGATGAGATCATACCATCATCAAAAAAACATGGGTTTTTGTTCTAACTTTGGGAATTAATAAAATGCCAACACCAGAAGACCTGAGCAAATCTGATAAATAGGAAGAACTAAGACCATTAAGAGCTTTATAAAACAATAAAAGGATTTTAAAATCAGTTCTGAAGCTCACATAAAGCCAATGGAGAGACTTTAAAATTGGTGTAATTATAAATAGCCCACTGTAGAGTAGCCACCTTGTAGTAAATCAAATTAATGAATACTCATTAAAACCTATACGTAACGTTGATGGGCTGTTTATTCAGATATGTTTTGTGCCTTCAAACAGATTTTTTTTTTGCCAACAATGACTCTTTTATTGGTAAAGGTTGCCGACCCTTGGTCTAGACTAGGAGTAACACGTAAGAATTTAGAAAATGTGTGTAGTTCCCCTTTCAGGCCTTTATAATTTCACTTTCTATTTTGCTTACATGGTGCATATTCCTAAATACATTTTACTCTGTCAGATTACCACAAGCTTATTACTACATACTAAATACAAACACAATTAGGGTAGTCAGGAGGGTGCCACTGTTGATTTCCTTCCAGGGGCCTCACAGCAAATGAATCCAGTCCTGCTTGAATGTGAACTTATCGGATATATTTTGAAAAAGGGTGGTGCCTAATTATGGGCATTAAGAAATCACATCTAATAATAGTTACATTTGGTGGATGATGAATAGATAATTAGAGTTAATCCTTATAGAGTATAACAGTCATTAGTAACTGAAGTTACTGAAAAAAGTGAAAAAAACAGGTTACCCTTTTAAAATGTATGAGTCTCTTGATTCTTGCTTATTTATTACTCATGTCTATTTATTGCGCATGTCTAGCTAAGGCCAGGAAAAAGAATAAGAGGCCTTGAAGTGGTAAGGCAACAGAACAGCACTTTAAATTGGAATTATATCAGACAGCCCCCCTCTTGTAAAGACTGTAATGTGGCATTAAGGCTTAAATGCCTGGACGGCATCAAAGAAAACCTCTTTATGTGTTCATCTCAAACCTCTTAATGTGATGGGAATATCAACAAACAATGGAGGTACTGGGTTAGGATGGTTATTATAAAAAGACTGGCCTGCCGTCCTTTGAAGAAGGTGCAGTCTAGAAACAAACAAAAGAGTGGAGCAGCACAAGCTGGCCTGCGGGAAAGTCTTCCTCTGCCAACATGCTGCCTACATTCAATCTTTTGTTTCTTTTCATGGTTCATTAACAATCTTTCCTGCACCATTTAAAATAATATCCACAGACTGAAATGATATTACCTCAGCAGACAGGCTGTGATGTATCTTTCCTGTGTGATTTAGTGAGAGTGCTCATGTGGAAACCTAGCTTTGAAGTTGATGGGAAGGCCATCAGTATTTCTACGATCGGACCTTTTAGAGCATGTTTTGTTAAACCCCTAAAGGAGAGAGCGAAAGACACCATATCCAGTGATTTTTCCTTTAATGGTTGCTCCACACGAAGACCTAAAATAGCCCCGGCAGGCAGCAGGATGAAATCTGATGACTAAAGTAAAGGAAGTGATGCAATGTAGCTGCTCAAGAGAAGACTTGAAGACAAACCCTCATTGTTTGCTTCAGGCAACACCCAAGGCACACAGAGGAGCAGTTGGAATTGAAACATCAAAATTAATGTTCACCGCGTTTATAGATAGTTGCTACACGACATACCAAAGGGCAGCATTCCCCGCTGCGCTCTTTTAACCCTGGTAGCTCTCAGAAGGAAATAAGCATTTAGTGTCCTGCCTTTTGGTTTTGTGACTGACAGCTTTGATTGTGAAACGTGAACTTGTCCAATCACTGATTCATAGCTGGATCCCTCCCACTTCATAAAACATCTCCTGGAATGTATGAATCAAACACACAAAGTGTAACTGATATGATTAACACAATCTCCATCTGAATGAACTGTTATTGTGTAAGTTGGACAAAGATGCAGTATCTCTTGGTAAACACCTGGCAGACAACAGAGTAGATTATACTGATAACTGCGTCCACACGGAGGCCTTGTGGAATAAGTGTGGTTGTAGATACAGTTCATACAGTGCATGTGTAGGACAATGTCATATACACCTGGGGTCATATTTCAGACATTCTATTGTAAACAGTTATGGAGGGCTGTGCTTTCATTATGCCACGTGAGCCGTAATAAAGACTATTATCCTGCTGAATTACTGTTAACATCTTTCACACCAATGCAGATGTGACAGATGCCAACCTGAGAGGCTAGACCCTTTAAACTAAGAATATGTATATGTATGATCTTTCAAGTTTTGCCTCAGGTGAATGACTGGTAACACAATGGAAGGAATATATCAGTCACAGCATGACAGGAAACACAGGGCTCACTGACATCAAAGCAAGAGTTTACAACATAATGCTTGAATGAGTAACCTTAAAGCATATCTTTAATTGGAGGGTGGGGTTGGACACGAGTTGGCAGGTTTCTTTCAATGAGGGCACTCCTGAGGGCATGCCTATACAGGTGGCCAAAAGGTTGGTTTAAAGCCACGCTGACTGCATGACTTTAAAGATGGAAATGTTGGTCAGCTGGTCCAGACTGAAATATCTCAACAACTATTGGATAGATTGCCTTGTAGTTTTGTAGACCCTCATGGTCCTCAGAGGATGACTCTCACTGGCTTTGGTGATCCCCGTACTTTTCCTTTAGCTCCACCATGAGGTTAGCAGTTGTGGTTTTGATATGAAATGTCTCAACAATATTTGGATGTGTTGCTATTACACTTGGCACCCACATTCATTTTCCCCTCGGGACAGATTATATCTCTGTTGATACTCTCACTTTTCATCCAGCACTATCATCAGGGTGAAGTATAAATTTTTCCATTACTTTGGTTTATGGCCTGCAAAAAAGACATTCCCATCAGCCTCAGCTGTACCTTATGTTTTCCCCTAATAAGCACGCGTGGGATGCTTACAGGCTAAACTAAGGCGATGAATATATGGTAAATGTTAGAGGTGGGACCAAGTTATTGTCTTGCAAGTTACAAGTAAGTCTCCTTTGCATTCAAGTCCCCAGTCAAGACATGACAGTCCT